GTAGGAAAAAAGAACTCATACTTTCTCTCAGAAACTTTAGTACATATTCATTTTAATATATTTTCACAGAATAGGATGATACCATGTGTAATGTTTTTTGAACCATTGTACATTAACAAAGTATGAACCATTTCATATTTGAACAATTTTATATTTCAACAATTTCAATCTACTGACAATTGTCAATAGATATATTTCATAACTGATATAACATTTCATTATTTTATGTGTTTACCTATGTTGTGTACATAATAGTAAAACAAATACACACAGGTCCACCAGTCAACATAAAAGCATGTTTGGAGCATTATCAACATGGCTGATACTAGCTATGCATCCATGCACAATTCCTACCCTAGACTTTACTGTTCTAAGCTCTGTGTGAGTGTGGGTACTATACCATATTACCTTATGTTCAGGACAGAGAGGGACATAGAGCAAGGAGAAAGCATTGTCCTTTCAACTTGTTTGTTTAACACTCTGGCTCATCTCCTCCCAAAATATTTTTAGTTATCATTACAGACATTTTTTCTGGTCACTCACTTTGTCTCATTTTAGTCCATGAATTAAAGGTCAAGAAGGAATGATTCTGGGAAGATTGTGATTGGATGATAAGCGTGCCACCCCTACTGATGATTTGCTCTGTCAATAACCTGTAAATATATAAAACCATAAGAGAGATTTACTAGAACAAAATTAATGAAGATGTAGAAAAATAAAATGCTGTTTGGCAAGTTTACTTTAATTAACACACATGGGTATTGGTATCCTTCAAGTACAGCATAACTTTTACATCCATTATTTTCTTTAATGTTATTAAAGCAATTATTAATACTTGTTCAAAAAGCAAGGTTTAATGAAGTTAAAGCATAGTTTAGAAAACAAGACCCTAACTAAGGTCAAGAATACTCTATAGATATCCTCTTTCTTTTCACCAGTGTCTCATAATACAGAAACTAGACCCCTGCAGAAAATTATGTGATTTGGGGGTGAAATGGGGGCTTATATAATATTTAAATAAGTGGTTGACACAGGTTGACACATCCTGTCAACCACTATCACACCTAGTAGAGAAGTATTAAGATGGAGTTGAGTGAACATAAAATTGGCATCTGATAGGTTGGGTTAAATCACTAGCTCTACCTGTTTTACTTTGGTGACTCGGAGGACATTAGTCTTAGTTTCTTTATTCAAAAGATGGAGCCTCACAGAGTGCAGATGTGACCTCATCTAAGAGTTCCATGATGTTTCTGTTCATCAAACAACTTCCTTTAGTCTGCCTTGATGTGAGATGTTACAGAGCTGAAAAAGGCATTGTTCTTGCCTTTAAAATGTTCCTGATCTTGTTTATTGGTCAGGACTCCTGGGAATTAAATTAAGTCAACAAAAAAGATAATTTCAATCACTTCGTTCATACTATGGAGATAATTTCAATCACTTCGTTCATACTATGGTCCTCTTTATAATGGAGATATGTCCTCCTCCATCCAATTCACTCACTACTCCCCAAACCCTACTTCTGGCAAACAGCAGAAGTAACTGTGAGCTTATATTATTTTTTGTTTCAAATTAATTAATTTATTGAAGTGTAGTTGCTGTACAGTGTTTAAGGTATACAGCAAGGTGATTCAGTTATAAACATTAGCTTTGAAATTATTTTCCATTATAGATTATAATATATTGACTATAGTTCCCTGTGCTATACAGTAAACCTTTGTGCTTGTTTATGAGATTATATTTTTTTCACGTGAGATCATGCAGAATTTGTCTTTGTCTCCTTATTCCACTCAACATAATACCCTCAAGTTCCATTAACATTATCCCAAATGACAAATTTTCATTATTTTAATGGCTGAATAATATTCCATAGTCTATATACATATATATCATACATTCTTTATCAGTGTTTCCAAATGATGTACTCTTAGGTTGATGGGGATGCATTTAAGTGGAATTGCTGTATTATATTTCAGTTCTATTTTTAAATTTGTTAGAAGTAACCATATTGTTTTCCATAGTGGCTATACCATTTTACATTCCCACCAACGGTGCACAAGGTTCCCTTTTCCTATGTCTTCACCAACACTTGTTATTTCTTATCTTTTTTATAATATCCATTCTAACAGATGTGAGGTGCTATTTCATTGTGTTTTTGATTTGCATTTCCCTGATAATTATTGATTTTGAGCATCTTTTTATGAACCTTTTGGCCACTTGTTTGACTTCTTTGGGAAAAAGCCTGTTCAAATCTTCAGCCCATCTTTTAATTAGATTGTTTTGTTTTGCTTAGTGTATTGTTGAGTATGATTTGCTAAGATTTGTTGAGAATTTCTGAACCCATATTCATCAAGAGTTATTATATTGGCAGGCAGATTCTTTACCAATGAGCCAACAGGGAATCCCTCATCAAGAATATTGGCCTATAATTTTCTTTTCTCATGGTATCCTTACCTGGTTTTAGTATTAGGATAATGCTAGACTCGTAAAATGAGTTTAGAAGTGTTCTCACCTCTTCTATTTCTTGGAAGAAATTGAGAGGAATTTCTTGAAAAGAATTGCTATAAATTAACTATTTTAATTATTGGATAGACTTCACCAGTGAATCCATCTATTACTGGATGGTTGGTACATGGAGAAAATGAAATATATATCACCACTAGAGAGATATGAGCTACCAAGCCATAGAAAGACACTGAGAGACGGTAAATATACATTACAAAATGAAAAAATCCTATCTGAAGTGGCTATATACTATATGATTTCAACTATGGATATTTTAGAAAAGGAAAAACTATGGAAAAAATTACACTAAAGATTGCCAAGGGTGAGCAGGGTAGGGATGAATAGGCAGAACACAGAGGATTTTTAGGGCAGTGAAAATACTATGTATGATAGCATAATGATGGATATATGTTACATTTGTCCAAACCTATAGAATTTCATTTAAGAGTGAATCCTAATATTAATATTCAGTGATTATGATGTGTTAATGTACATTCACCCTTGGTAACATCTGTACCACTCTGGTGAATGATGTTGATAATGGGAGAGTCTATGCATGTGTGAGAACTGGGGCTTTATGGACAGTGCCTGTACCTCCCTATCAATTTTTTGTGATGCTAAAACTATCCTAAACAGCAAATAACAGCAACAAAAATATTGCAATTTAGGTGTTCTTGACCTAATTTAGTATGACAGTAGAAAACAGGCCCTCCAAAGTCATATGTAGTGTCTAAGACCCTAATTTATTTATGTGCTAATCCAGAACCAGAATTCACATGTTTTTAAGCACCCAAATACACTAATAATTCCCCAAAGTCAGTTCCCATTCTTTGTTAATTCATCAGACTCAGTAAGGCTTATTTCTTTCAGAAAGAGTTGTTTCACTGATAGCAAATGCCTACATTAAGGATTGCATGTATTATGTTTAATGCAACTAGTTCTAAAAATAAATACTATGTTTTTGTATTTAAAGTAATTTAACTTTTCATGCTTTATTGCTCACATTGAAGCAGTGATGTATAATTTCCTCCAGTCGTTAAAAGAAATTAATTTATGTAATTTTCTTTCCTGAAGCAAGTTAAAATGACTTTTGTAAGCAGACGCAGAAGTTGACAAACCAGGCAACCCAGTTGTGAAATATATGAGCACAAGGGTAGACTCTGACAAACTTACGGAGGAGGAAAATTGCACACTCATTCTTCCCACCTGCTCTTTGTGAACCTAATAGTAAATGAAGCCCCTTTTATATCCCGTCCAAGTTAGCCAAGGCCTACAAAATAGATAGGTAGATAGACAAAAAAAAAAAAAAGCTTTTATTCTGCTCATATTTCTTACCTAAAGCTCACCACCAAAATCTGGAAGCATTTTCATAAATGTACAATATTTGCACAAGAAAATATAATTAACAAACATTAACATTTTTCAATTTGGGCATATTTATATTTTAAGGAAGATATTGAATAGCTACTCTTAAATGTAATCTCCATCACTGGTGAACCTGTGTTATTTTTTACAGCTTATCTATCGGGGTTAGTTTTCCTTCCTGTTGGTTTCAACATCAAATGGTTTCTATCTCAGCTCTTACATTGTTCTGACAGTTTTATTTTGTTGATTTGACTCCCAGTATCATTCACATCTCTGTGTTTTCAAGCAATAAATATTGACCCTTACCAAATTAAATGAAGGATATTTTAATGGTAGAACATCAGGAGCTCATACTATCTGGGAGAAGGCAGCAGTAACCAAGTTGGGGACGGACAGAAACTGAGGCTGCTTCAGAAGACTGGGAATGTGAACCATAAGAAGTGTCTCATTGTAGAGACAACTTGGAGAAGCAGACTTACTGAAATTAATATACCTATTTATAGCCTCTTTTTAATCTAGTCAGTGTTTAGTTCCAAAAATGAACGTTCCAATGACCTGGTTTGGATCATGTGCATTTCTGTGTAAAGAAATTTAGAGTAATATGTAGGATTTCTTGAGGTATAAAACAGTATTTGATTGGTAGGTGAAGCATTGGAGTCAACATCATTCTTTTTGTAACTTACAGTGAGATGTTAGAAAATATCATATTTCCTATTAAGAAAACAAGATGTGTACTTGTTATTTCCCAGACAGATATGAGATTAAAATAAAAAGGAAAGATAGGATTCCTGTTTTTTTTGAAGAACCAGAATCCTTAAAAGTTTATTATGCAAGAAATAAACATTTGCAGTAGGAAAGTAGTCCTATTGGACAGAACTCATACAAAATTGAATAGAAATTATTTCATTCAATTTCATAGTTAATATTTAAGCAACAGTTGCATGCTGTGATTCATGGGGTTGCAAAGAGTTGGACGTGACTGAGCGACTGAACTGCACTGCACTGAAGGTCTCTGATATATACACATTTTCATTTTTCATTGAGTGTGAGGTTGCCATTATAGCATGTTTTACAAAGGTATTAGGAACTCACTGATGAAACTATTTCCCTCTTAATGTTCTCTTTCTCTCTAGCCTCAAGACATCACTACTGAAGTCAGTGAAACCCCGCAAATTGAGACTACAAAGGAAGAGGTTCTACTCAGGACCCCTGAGTGCGACACTCAAATTGTAAGATTAATTTTAAATGTTTCTAACATCATTCAACATGAAAACAAGGACAGGACATGAGCATTTTAAAAATCCTAGTTTATGCCGCCATGAAGCTGTCTATTTACATGTAATATCTACTATCTAAGGACTTCCCTGGGAGCTAAGATAGTAAAGAATCTGCCTGCAATGCAGGAGGCGCAGGTTCAATTCCTGGGCTGGGAAGATGCCCTGGAGAAGGGAATGGTTACCACCCCAGTATTTTTACCTCTAGAATTCCATGGACAGAGGAGCTGGGGGCTACAGTCATGGGGTCACAAAGAGTCAGACATGACTAAGCAGCTAAAACTTTTCTTTCATTTCTGCTATCTAAACATTATACTTTTCATTTGAAAATGCAGATGTTGGATATGAATCACGTGGTTATTCCACTAAGAGGTGTAATCAGACAATTAGGAATATAAAGATGTCCTGGAGAAGGGAATGGCTACCCACGCCAGTATTCTGGCCTGGAGAATTCCGTGGACAGTCCATGGGGTTGCAAAGAGTGGGACAAGACTGAGTGACTTTCACTTTCATAAACTTGAATTGCCAGAGAGATAAGGTGGTCATTCCCACAGTCACGTGACAGGAAGCTGTTAAAATATTAAAAGCAACACAACTCCAAACAATGAATGTGATTCAATAGTATTCTCCCCATAAAGCAAATAAACCTTGAGTTATAGAGATATTACAATAGAGGAAGGGAAATTTTTACCCTTCAAGTAATAACAGGAAATGAGGAATTTGTACTCTGTGATTTAACTCTAAAAAGTGTAATGAAATTTTAACTCTGGAACTTTGGCACAATTACAGATCTGTCATATCTGGGCTTGAAAAATGGCAAATGTCAGTTGTATTTAATATATTCAAAGATAGCATTTAATCTAGTTGACAAAATGGATAGTGTCTGCTGAAACTATTCATGATGGAAAAAGAAGTCAGGTGACAGCAAAGGAAATAAGGCAGAATAGAAACAAGTTAACCAAGTCAATCTCTTTTTCCTCTATCGACTGCCAAAGTAAATTTAGAAATACTAATTTCTCAGCAGTTTGGCTTTCACATCTTTGTATGTTGAAACATGTTCAAAACCAAAAATTTAGAATATAAGGTTAATGAGAAGTAGAAATTTTGCAATTTACTTCCAAGGGAAGAAGAATTCAAGAAGGTTTGGGGAAGGAAGGACTATTTTTGCTAAAGTCTGAAGAACAGATAGGTCTCTGACAGTGTAAGTCAATATACAGAGACAAGAAAACATCAGAATGTGAGTAGAGAGTGCTGAACAGAAAACGGTGGGATGTGTGGCTAAGATAATTTGGAACTTAAGTAGGAGGCGCACTGGGTTCCCAAGCTAGGGAGTTTGGTTTGAATTAGGGATATGGGCTTCTCAGGTGGCACTAGTGGTAAAGAACATGCCTGTCAATGCAGGAGAAACAAGTGACACGGACTTGATCCCTGGGTCAGGAAGATCCCCTGAAGGAGGGCATGGCAACCCACTCCAGTATTCCTGCCTAAAGAATCCCATGGACAGAGGAGCCTGAAAGGCTACTGTCCACAGAGTCACAAAGAGTCAGACACAGCTGAAGCCACTTTGCACGCAGGGCTATAGTAAAGATTTTCACATGTTTATGTCCAGTTAAGAGATAAGACCACTGGGTTAATTTTAAGGCCCGTTTGTTTCTTGATACAGTTTCCTAAAACTACCTAAAAATCATTTTGCAGTATATACATGTATCAAATCATTATGGTGCATACCTAAAACTAATACAATGTTACATGCCAATGATATCTCAATTGAAAAATTAGAATTTTGGAAGCTTCTGGCCTGCACCTTTAAGGGTAATGCTCAGGCTTGATCCCTAAATGTCCTGCTCCAAGCCCTTGCATTAGGAGGGATTCAGTTGGTTTTTTTTTTCCTGCACTTGTACTGGTATACCTGTGCCTTGAGCAAATTGTTCATGTAATGAAGTGACCAAAACAGCTGAAGGAACAGAAGAACCAGGACTTGATCAAACTTAACAAACAAAACATTTCCATTGAAGGCAAACCTTGAAAAGTTCTATGTGTTTTGCAAAGATTCCTCAAAGCAATATTTTGGTCTCCTTTTCTTGTCAAGAGAGAGGTATAAATTCTTTGTTGTTGTTGTTGTTGTTTGTCCCACTCTTATTTTTATTGCCCTTCCTTGTCACCAGTAGCTCCTCTCTTTCCAGTAAGTGGCGTAAGCAGCTACTGCCTTGGTGGAGGTCCCAACTGGGTTGCTTCAAAAGCTTCCTCCACCTGTACCAGCATGAACGCTCTCTCTCTAACCTGATCCCAGTTCCCTAGATTTTAGTCTTTGAAGTCTCTGCTTCCAAGAACCTACACTTTCTAGCGCATAGAGTGCTCAATATTTATAGTCTGTAGGCTCAGTTACATTTAAAGGCCAAGAGAATAACATAAGGGAGTGAAATAAGCCAGGTGTAAGCAGTAGGAGTGAGTGAGACTACTGTGAATATCTTTTTTCCAATTCTAGATTAGTAGTTCTAAGCCATATCCTCACTGTAGTATCATATGGAGGATTTTTATAAAATACTGATGACCAGGTAATTCTAATATGCAGGTTAGTTTTACTAACAATGTATCTCACATGTATATGATTCTTAAAATCATCTGAGGAGCTTTTAAAAATAAAGATTTTGAAAAATTCTTCAGTCAATTCTAAGTAAAGGGGACTAAAGGTAACTTTAAAAAAAAAAAAAAAAACATGGACCTGACATCACTTTTCAATCCAAGTGATTCTGAAAGAGATGGTCTGTTAGCCTTAATTTGAAAAAGATTGGTTTAAATAAGACATAATGCCTTTAGTATGTTGTTTAGTAACAGAGTTTCACATTTGAGAGACAGCATTGCCTAAATGAGGCTCTGTAATGGTAGCCATGAAAGTCTATGATGTAACTTTTGATAGTAGGTATAGGGGATCCATCCCAGAACCCTCTGTTTATTTTGCAACCAAATCTAAGAGCAGCAGGGCTGTGAAATTGATCAGGAAACTGATGTGTGATTTTGTCCATAGCTAAACTTGCCATGAGAGAGCTAGTATACCATCATCTCCCCAGGCTATAGTACTCAGAGTATAATTAATCTTAATGATAGAAAGCTCCATAGTTCCTTTCCAGCTTTCCCCTATAGTAAGAGAATAATTCTGATGGCTTTCTCCACTTTACAGGAAAAAGTGAGGGGCTCTTTGGATCTATGAGAACTACCCTTACTCAGCTCCTCCAAATTCACCCAAAATATTCTGATTTGTGTTAAATATCATGAAATGCATTCCTTCCATTTCAATACAGCAAAGTGAAAATAACTTCAACTTGATGCTTACAAGTTGGAGATTTAAGCTTCAATTTGAATTGCTTTAATTGAATATCCAAATAAGTTATCAAAACATAATTTCATAAAGGAAAAATAAGAAATTTACCTCTTCTTCTGTTAAAGGGATTGCTGCATTTTCTGTTGTAGGAAGGATAGTTTTAACATGTTTGGCAAAAATATAACCTTATTGTCTTTGTTTGGAGACTGAATATGAGTAAAGAAGTGCATCTCTGTGCCAGGTTGACAAGACGTGGCCTCGTGATAGTTTTATGCATCAAAATGACTGAGCTCAGGGATGACCAGAGACTTGGTAAAATATTAATTCTGGGTATGTCTGACAGGGCATTTCCAGAAGAGTTAGTAGACTAAGAGATCTTCCCTCATAAACATGGCAGGCATCATCTAATCCCTAGAAGGCCTGAACTGAACAAAAAGATGGAGGAAGCATAATTTCTTCTCCCTTTGAGCTGGGCCATATATCTTCTTCAGCCTTCAGACATCAGAGCTAATGTTTCTGGGGCCTTCCAACTCAGGGACTTAACACCAGCAGGCCACTTACCCGGTTCTCAGGCCTTTGGCTTCAGGCCTGAGATTCAGGTTGGGAATTACAACAGCTTCTCTTATTCTCAGCCCTTCAGACTTGGACTGAATTTTATGCCACCAGCTTTCCTGATTCACCAGCTTAGAGAGTGCATATCGTGGCATGTCTCATCTTCCATAATAGCATGAGCCAATTCCCATTAAAAAAAAAAAAAACTTCTTATACATCTATGTATATACTCTAATAGTTCTGTTTCCCTGGAGAACCTAATACAATTTTTTTTCACATTTATGTTTTGTATATTTCATGTGTATTTTGAAGTATTTTCACTGCTTTTTTTTATAAAAGACTTTAATTAGAAACTAATCAGTGCTACTCAGTTTTCTACAGAGAGAAAATACATGGTAGTTGTTGAGTTAAATTTTAATTTTGGCGGCCTTACTTGACAAAATTAATTTGGAAAATTTATTTCCATTTATTTTCTGTTTAATGTGTTTTTCTGCTCTATGAAATTAGAAAAAATCTAGAAACTATTCAATGAAGAATTTTTTTAATAATAAAAGGGAAGATAAAATAGGGACCTGAATGAAGCCAATAACAAATAATTGAAAGCATGAAATAAACAGAATATCAGAATAAGAAATCCCCAGAATTTTGTGTTCAAGCAAAGATACAAGAATAAGGATGAAGTCTAATATGAGTCTCTGTTTTCGTCTTGGTTGACTGGAACAATTATAGTTTTATTCTCAAATAAAATGAACTATTACAGGAGATATTTTAAGTTAATTTTTGTCCATTTCCTCCTTAACAGGAGAGATTTGTGCCATCTTAATAACTAGAATGAACAAAAATTAGCACACTGGAACTAATTGCTTATGAAAAATATGACAGTTTTTAAAAACAATTTGCATTCTCTAAAAATCACAGATTTCAAGTGTATATTTCAGTTATTCATTTATTTAATTTACCAAGTTTTGCAACCATTACCACAGGCCAGTTTCAGAACATTTCTATCTTCCTAGTAAGATCCCACATGCCTTTCTTTACAGTTAACCTCTATAAAGACAACCACTAACCTAGTTTCTACTGGTTA